TGGAAACTAAATAAATAGCAAAACACCAAACAACAAAAATATATTGTCTGGAAACATCCTGGCATTAAGTACGAAACTTGTCTTTATCATATATAGAATGCTACTTCCTCAACATCTCAAAAAAGGGATTGAGAGAGTTACAGTTTGTTTTGCTTGCTAAAGACTTAAAACAGTCTTTAAGTAAGCTGTCTAATTCAAGTTTTACCAGAAGTGATAATTTCCTGCTACAAGAATGAGAGTGTGGAGAATAAGTTAGGCACACTTCCAGACAAAACACCTAACCCCTGCAGATAAAGTTTTTATTTTCTAAGAAAGCTTAAGGCATTCCTTTGGAGACCAGATATATATCTCAAGATGGTGATGATGATGATGATGATGATGATGATGATGATGATGATGATGATGGAGTGACATTTTTCTTTATCGGAGGTCAGCTTTCCTTGTTTTTAACAAAATTGAATTAAAATTAAACATTTAAAAACTTGGTAGGGATCAAAGGAGGTGACAGTAAACACATTGGCTCTTTTGGATGCCACATTGGGCACTATTGATTTTTATGAGGAACTGAGGATTAGCTTGTTTCAGATAGTTTACATGTATTTCCCAATATTGTAAGAGAAGAACCTTAAATTAAATTATAATGGCAAAAAATAGGAGTGTGGTGGCTTCTTTTCCAACTAGTAAAAATGTCTTAGATAAAAGAGGTGCTACCAGACTCCTCTGATTATTATCAATAATGTTACAACTATCGTTAGTTCAGACTATAGCTTCCCCACACAAAAATATTTTCTTCCTGTCTTTTGTATCAGCTCCACGCCTTGTTAAAGAAACTGAAATAAAATCTTAGAAAAAATAAAATTCTCAAAGTTTAATTGAAAAGATCAGTATTCAGAGATCAGAACTGAGATTCTGAAATATTTGAACTTACATGTTGTGGACAGTTAATAAAGATTCATGACATTGTCTCTTTCATTTCGAGATCTTATATATTTCTATTGGATGTTTGTAAAATATATATTTTATAAATTAAATCAGGTGATCCCTAGATGGCAAATCAAAGGAGATTTTCTCTTTTCAGAACACAATTCTGATTCTTGGTCCTTTGAAATACTCTAGTATTGGTCTGTCTGTATATTCTCAGCTGCAGGAGGTCCCTCTGAAAATATGTGGCTGAAATTTAGTTTAAATGGCCAAATTTGGGTGGTGTTTAACAAAAGTACCCTCCTCAAGTCCTAAAAAATAGACTGAAAATTTATTTGGGGCTCACAATTGATGGAGGTGGGGGTACTTTGCTGTTGCGTCTCCCCCCCCTCCTATCCTTAACAATAGACTTCAAAAACTTGGGCCCACATCTTGTATGAATTTACTAGATTTCTGGAAAATATTGGCACTGAATTGTAGTTCCAGATCTCAAACATTGCCATTCCTGATTTGTATAAAAAACTGTAACGGGCAAAATAACAGTACTGTAATCAGCTGATCTGCCTCTTAGACCGGTGTGACTTTTTATCATTTATGGTATTTTTGCCATTGGAGGCAATTTTGGGGAGGGAGGAATTTGTTTAATGAACATACCTAATTTTTACCAATGTCCCATCCCGAGTTGGGTAAGGTTTGCTGGCTGGGCCTCTTGAATTATTCTGTGGAAAATCCAACTAAATCTGTTATACTTCCTCTTCGACCTCCAGCAGTCAGTCTTACTATGATTTAGAATGGGCATAATCATTTCAAACAATCCTAAAATAAGTTAAATTAAGTTTTTGTAAACAACAAATAAGAAGATTTGAACTGTATCAGTTTCTGTAAAAATTGGCATATTTCAACCCTTCAGTTCTTAGGCTTGCCTGCAAAATTTATCCCATTTTGTTAAACAAAACTGAATTGTATACGGTAAGTATTTATATTTTTTTGCATGCTAGATTGTAGAAGAAAAACATCTTGATATACTCTTACTCTAGAGCTCATTGAGCCTTTTCAAAAGTCCCAAGCAGCTCTGTTATTTTTCATTCAGTAGATAGATATGCCTTCTTAAACAATCAATCTACTTTTTTATTAACAATTAATTTTTAGGTGTCCTGAAGGACAGGTGGTAATGAAAAGCTGCAACGCCACAACAGATATGAAATGCGGATCACCATTTCCAGGTTAATATTATAATTGCAAACAATAATAGACCAAATTGTCGTAAGTCAAGGACTACCTATATTTTTATTTAATGACAGTATAGCATTGTATTATAATTCAAACAATGGGAAGGCTACAAAAGCAGCTTCAAGTGATTTTATTTTACAGTTGTCCATGTGGAAGGAGAGGCAGTTCATGCAGGACAGGAGAAGTGTGAGGTACCCACTTAATGACTGGACAGCTGGGACTGCTGTCATTAAACAATATGGTCAATGCTTCACTTAAGGACTTCTTTGTTTATCAATGAAAATCCCAGCCCCAATTAGGGCCATAACCCAAACATTAGCTGCAGTCTATTTCGGAAAAATACCAGGCTGAGAGGTTTCTTAATCTGGTACATTAAAAGAGTATGGCTAGGATGTTTTTCCTTCCCAGAATTACTGTATTTTTCAGAGTATAAGACGCACCTTTTTCCCTTAAAAAATCTGGGTGCATCTTATACACTGAATATAACATTTTTTGCCTCCTGGAACTCTGCCCCCTTCACCAAAATGGCCGTGCATAGTTTTTAGAAGGCTTTCAGAGAGCTCTTGGGGGCTGGGGAGGGCAGAAATGAGCGAAAAACAGCCCATTTCCCCCACTGCCCCCAGCAGCACTCTATAAGCTTCCTAAAGGCTATCCATGTCCTTTTTTAAAAAAAACAGGCCCGTTTTTGCGAAAAACGGTCTGTTTTTTGCTTGTTTCTCCCCCTGCCCAGGAGCACTCTACAAGCCTCCTAAGGCCTATTCATGCCCTTTTGTTGAAGAAAACTGGGCCCGTTTTTTGTGAAAAACTGGCTGTTTTGGGGAGATTTGCAGAGTGCAAAAACTTTTTTTTTAAATTTTCCTCTTCAAAACCTTGCTGTGTCTTATACTCCGAAAAATACAGTAATACATTAGTACTGTTTTGTCTCTGTTGGGAGTAAGGAAGCTGATTACCCTAACCCTAAACCCTAAACCCCAATCAGTGGCATGATCAGTATGATCAGTGGCAAAAGGTTATGGGAGATATAAGTCAAATGATTTGGAAGACGCCAGATTATCTTCTGAAGGGATGTGGGCATTCCTTTGCCTTGCATTGCAGAAATGAAACTCAATATCAGAGGATATTTTGTAAGTTTCTGTAAAGCTCTGGCTAATTTTGTCCCCCAAAGCAGTTGCCTAGATTCGCTCATTATGCTTAATCATGATTTGCAAAATTTTGTTTCCCTGAATAAACAAGAATATACTCGGTATATGCAGCATGTTTAGCCATAAACAGTCTTCAAACTCAAATGGCAGGGTTCATATAGCTGTACCATTATCTATAAATCTAACTTCCGTTCTTGGCATGTTATGAGTGCATACGTAGAAGAGTCTCTTTATCTTTAATTTGTTTAAAGGCTTTCTATTTTCTCTTTTAGAAACTTCAGATTCCTCATTTCCAAGCATTTACATCGGGATTGGTGTTTCAATTGGAGTGGTTTTCTTGGCAATTGTCATCATTGGTTGTTTAGTTTACTGCCTGTATAAAAGGAGAAAATCCAAAGGTAATTTCCTGATGAATCGCTAAATATGAAATAATTTGCTATCTAATATTAAATGAACCAAAGTACCAAAAAAATTGGGAGACCCAAAGCAGGGAACAGTGCGTGCTAATTAGTGAGTCGGATTTGCATGTTGTGTTTAGCTGTAGTTTGCTTAACTAAGGTTGGTTGAATAAGTATCAATTGGCTGGATGTTCAGATTGCACTAAAATATAAATCATAGCATTTTAAAGAATCCTCACCCATGGGACAAAGATTGCTTATTTCCTCTTACCTAGGGGTGTCACACTCAAGGCCCAGGGGCCGGATCCAGCCCATAGGGTTCTTAGATTTGGCCAGTGTGGTCATCCTGGAAACAGCAAAGGACTGGCCCGTAGTGCCTCTGCCAGCAAAAACAGAGCTGAGGAGCTCCCGAACTCCATTTTCACTGACAGAGGTTGCAGGAGGTTGTCACAGCTGAAAGTGGAGCTTGGGAACACATTTTTGCTGGCTGAGCGCTCTGGCCACCACAGGCACCCCCGACACAAGTGATGTTGAGCCACCCCAGGTCAAACACAATCCTGATGCAGCCCTCAAGTTTGACACCCCTGTTCTTACCCATTAGCTTCCTTTGTGCCAACCCATGGTTCATTGCATAATGTTGCAATCGTGTCCAAACTTCTTGCAGAATGCAGGATCAGAAATTTCAGCGGAAGAAGTACAATAATGAATAGCTATACATTTAATTGGAAGACCAGGGCTAATAACAGAACTGCTGGAATGAAAGGAATCATCAGGTTATCAAGTCAGCTTTAAATAAGCGATCACTTATTTAGCAATGAAATCGTGCAATTTTTCCCTGTACAAAGATTTGATGCCGATATTGCTTGTTTACTGATGGTGCAGGTAATCCTCAACTTACGACCACAGTTGAGCCCAAAATTTATGTTGCTGAGTTAAGTGAGTTTTGCCCTAGTTTATGATCTTTCTTGCCACAGTTGTTAAATGAATCACTGCAGCTCTTAAATTAGCAGCAGAGTTGTTAAGTGAAGCTGGCTTTCCCATTGACTTTGCTTGCCAGAGGTTCACAAAAGAGGATCACCTGACCCCAGGACACTGCAACCATCATAAATATGAACCAGTTTTCAAGCACCCGAGTATAAAACCTATGACCATGGAGATGCTGCAATGGTCGTAAGTGTGAAAAATAGTCATACGTCACTTTTTCAGTGCTGTTGAAACTTTGAACGGTCACTAAATGACTGTTGTAAGTCGAGGACTACCTGAAATTGGTACTAGGAATTCCATCGCTAAGCGTCATAAGGCACAGCGTCATGGGCCCACCCGAACTTGTGAGAGTAGTCTAGGCGAATCCATCAGGCTGCAGTATTTAACAGTCATGTTATCACCATTTGCGACATCCCGACAGCTTCCCCACTGACTTTACTTGTTGGAAACATGCAGCGAAGTTCACAAATGGCAATCACATTATCGGAGAAATGCTGTGATAATTTAAGCCAGTGTTTCTCAACCTTGGCAACTTGAAGATGTCTGGACTTCAACTCCCAGAATCCCCCAGCCAGCGAATGCTGGCTGGGGAATTCTGGGAGTTGAAGTCCAGACATCTTCAAGTTGCCAAGGTTGAGAAACACTGATTTAAGCTATGAGGACCTATCATAAATCCCCCTCATTCAGCACCATTGTAACCAAACAGTTCCTGAATGACAATGTTAAGTGAGGACTAATGTATATATTTTTTTCTATACTTTTCTTCCCAGGAATGAAAGAATCCAGAGACAACTTGGTAAGCATTTGTGTACTTATTTTTTAAGGGAAAATAACTAGTGTTCTTAGCATGCTTCTGTCCATCCAAAATGATGAGAAGTTCACAAGAATCAGCATAGCCAGCTTTCTTCTCAATTGTTAGTTCATAAAACTGAAGAGTTACTGAGAAGACATCAAATTTTTATTTTCATGTACAACAATCAATGATGCACTTGAAAAAAAAAACAGCCTTGTTTTTCATCTTCATTGCAAGTGCATCTTTGATAGGACCTCTAGCTTTCTTTGTGCCCCACCAGTGTATTCTCCCTCCAGATTAATTTTTAATGTCACATGGGGATAACCAGAACATTAGCATTCAGTTGCTTCTACTGTCACAACACCAATTAGATTCCAACCCCCAAATAAGTGTTGGTTTGCCATTGATAAAATCCTATATGGCTC